TCGAAAATGATTCTAATCTCATAGTTCTAATCCATAAACCAAACAGAAAATTATTAGGAGATGAGTCAATAATAATTCTATATTCTAACACTCTCCCTCACATGTAGGTTTGAAATAGGTAGATGTACATAATAAATATCAAGCTTAATATAAGAAGAAACCCGAAATAAATTAAAGATCCAACATGTAAAATTGCAAGGATTTGAGATTAAGACTTCCTATTTTAATACTATGTTAATTTACCCATTCATCCTAAAACTTTAAGTTATTACCGACAACAATTTTATATTCTATAATTTGTTTTTTTAAATTCCAATTCCTACCTAATAATTCATATGTGGAGTGTAATCTGATACCTTATTTACAAACGAAAAAAAAAAAAAAAAACAGAAAATAGCCCAGTACTTAATATTCCTTTAGTACTGGTCCCACTGATCGCTGTCCCAAACGTCCAAAACTATTTTAATCAGGCTGCATTAATGTCACTTGAAGACTAGAAATTTATCTAAATTTACTTTATTACTTTAAGGAAGTATTGTAATAGTGATTAAGAATCATGAATACAAGGATGCATATGAAATCTGGCAATAAAATGATAGAAGTTGAAATTCGTCAATTCAATATATTCCTTCACAATAGTTAACAAAGGAAAAATCACTAAATTCTTTACCAATAGGATAAAAAAAAAATGTTGCTGGTTATATGCCTTACTCTTTACAACTATGGCTCTTTTTATACATAGTAAATGTTACCAAAAGAAGGAATAAAGAAAAGTGGTTTTATAAAGAAGACGATCAACTCCAATAAAGAAAATATAATTTATTTTGAGATCAATTGATTATTGTTTTCTTGTAAAATAAAATTGGAATAGGAGGTTCGTTCTTGTTTAAATTAAGTTTTCCTTTGCCCAACTATTATCTTTTATCTTAAGAAAATTAATGATATATTAATTTTATAGATTTGAATTACAATTTAAACTTTTTTTACTATAATTCTGTTTTCACTTACAAAATTTTAAATTTCTGTTTAATTTTTTTTATTTAAACCCTCATGATATAAAACTAATTAACAAATAGAATTAAACCTGGTCGTTCCATTAAATATCATAACCCAATCATCAGTATAATTATGCTAAATTTACTTGAAAAGAGAGAAGACCATCATGAGATAAGTTTTTTTTTTTTTAAAAAAAGATTATTTATTATCAAAATTATATCAGCATTAATCATCGAGAGAATCGACTCATACCCCTCTCATAAAGTATGTTCCCTATATGTGGTTTCACATATTTGTTGAATCTTTATTGATCAAGGGAATAGTTCTCTTATCTCTCTCCGAAATAAAACAAAAGATGGAACATGTATATATATTTTTTATATAAAAGAAAAGATTTTGCATAAAAAGAATATAAGTATCTTAATCATTAGGATAAAAAGCATTACACGTAATTGTTTCCAACTCATAAATAAAGACAAAGAAGGCTTCATTTATTACATCTCTTCTATTCCCTACTCTTTTTAGCTATTGGCTGACCATGTTTTTGAGTCTCTCTGTTTTTTCCCCCTAAACAAAGAATACGAATTTATTTTCTTTCTAACAAATTAATAAGTTAAGTAGGCCGCCTCTCTCTCTCTCTCTCTCTCTCTCTCTCTCTCTCCCCATCTCTATCTCTCCTCTCCTCTTCCTCTTTTTTTCTCTCTCTCTCTCTCTCTCCCTCTCTCTCTCTCTCTCTCTCTCTCTCTCTCTCTCTCTCTCTCTCTCTCTCTCTCTCTCTCTCTCCCGACCTATCTACTTTGACATATAGAGAAAATTGAGCAAAACAATCAATACAATTATTGGATAGATTAAGTGTGTGTCTATATATATATATATATATACCACATCACACACCCCCATCTTATATCGCTCCCTGATGCATTTTTAGTCAGTAAGGAGACGTTTGATTTATGAATTAAAATTATTTTTAATTTATGTGTATTTTTTATAAGAAAAAATACTGTAACGAACTATGAACCATAATTCGAATCATGGTACAAATTCCTTTACCAAACGTCACCTAAGCAAACATCAATAATATATAATTTCCCCTAAAAGGTGTTTATATGTGCTTGAGCACCAAGAAAATTTTCAGAAAAAAATATATAAATTCCATATTCATTAAATCATAGGAAAATTACGTTGCATATCCATTCTATGTTGATGCTATCAAACCTTATCCATTTCTGCTAATTAGGTATTCTTTCAATTCACCTTCACTAATGGTTTCTAAGGATCAAATGCATGCTTATCCACAATGCACAAGCAAAATAATTGGCTTAATTTCGCCCAATATTGTATCAACATTGGATTCTCCAACATCAATGATCAATCGTACACTACAGTAGTCAGTTTCTTTTCGAATACGTGTTCCACTTCAATTCATTAATCAGTATATATATTGGATTTATCGAGTGATTTTAGTCTTGATTTTCCCAAAAATGGGAATTGGCGGTTATTGGTTCATTAATCTATAGCAACAAAGAATTTGCTGTGTAATTTCATTTCAACCCAAGAAAATAATAAGAGTTATTTTTTTTCCTAAATATAAATATAATGCCATATATGTGGAGACTTTTCTAAATTTTCAATGTACATATATTATTTAATTATTATTTATGTATAGTAGTGTTCTTGGGGTCACCATCAACGTTGAAAGCAACTCCTTTAATGTACTAGCAACATTTAACAACATGTGGTACTCCTTGAATTTTCACATATATCCGACAAGCCGACAACATTCTATTTCTCAATAATCATATGTTAATTAAAGTGAAATAAAATATAATACAAATTACTTTCATCTATATATATAAAAAAAAAAAAACAATGATTTGTTTGGAATGATGTCTTCGCCAATATACTGCAATCATATGAAAAGCTTTTAGATGCCATATATATATATATATATATATATATATATATATGCGATTTTTGCTGGCTTTAGGCTGGAGCCACGTTAAAAATATCACTAATATATATGTGGTTTTTGCTGGATTTAGGCTGGAGCCACGTTAAAAATATCACTAATATGTATATATGAGGTAGGTACTAAATAGGATAGTAAAAGAGAGAAAGTTATTAATAAGCAGTGATGACTATTTCCAGAGAAAAACTAAAATAAATAAAATAAAAAACTGATATTATATTCCTCTTGATTTTTTTATTGTATTTCTGAACCAGTATTTATAACTATAGGTACTCAACTGTTGATATTATATATATTACTACAAAAGGATTGTTAATGTATAGATAATCTCAATTAATTGTACTTTCTAAAAAAGAGTTATAATCCAATTAAAATTGATCAAGTAATAATCTTCAGCCCAGTGTGAAAGCAAGGATGCAATGTTGACGTGTTGGCAAAAAGTCAAATAGTAATGACAATAATTTATTATATAGTTCCATGACAATATCAATACTCAGCAGAAAAAATTTCCCAACTACATCAATAATGTTGTAGATGTACTATTTGGCAAATACAATGTATATGTATTGTTGTAGAGTAAAAACAGAGGCAAGAAGGTTTATATTTATTAAGAACCTCATTTAGAGTAAGGACAACACAGTCCTGCTATACGTTATTAACGTTAAATAATGACAGCAGAAAGTCAACCTTTCAAGAAGGTTTAAGGATGTTCAAGGGATGAAGCTTCAGGCTGCGCTTAAGGAGAAGAGACTTTATCTAATCCTTATAGAGTCGAGGCTTCTCAAGATTAAGAAAGTGTTTAAGGAGTCGAGGCTCCGTAAGATCAAGTGTTTAAGGAGTTGAGGCTTCGTAAGGCTCCAAGAAGTGTTTAAGAAGATGAGGCTTCAGGTTACACCAAGAGCAAAGAGGTTTCATCCGACTCTTACGAAGTCAAGGCTATTACGAAGTTGAGGCTACAGGAAGATAATGAATCCGCAGGATTTGCTCCAGAAGACAAGATTTGTATTTTAAATATAAAATTTAAATATGAAAACCACACTAATTGATTGTAAACTCTATCTTTTGGAAAACTATCTCCAAAGATAAGAGAAATATTCCAAATTCAAATAAATAAGGTTTATGGGCGGTGACCTAAGTTATAAATAGCTAGGGGATTATAGACTAGAAATTTCTTGAAATCTCATACTGAGAAAAAAACGTGTAATCTCTTTTCAAATTAGTGAAATTCTCTCCTCCTCCCCACAATGGATGTAGCTCTCAAATCGAGGGTGAACCACTATAAATCTTTGTATGTTTTTATTTTTGTTGTATTTATACCGCTGTGAATCACATTAATTTATCTCAAAATTTGTTAATTCTTTGTTGACGAATTTTCACCCTCAACATATATGTGTGTGTCAACCTTGCCGAATCACTTATCGTACTACATAAATTCCACATTGCTAGATTACGGTGTTGCCACATAAATATAATTTCACCAATTTAATTATAGCAATGATATATAATGTAAATTAGTATTTTTGGCTAACATGGCTATTTTGTTTCCCCTTTGATTACATGTGTGGGTGTCTTATAATATATAAGCAAATCATACTTTCTTCTTTTGGTAAAGGAAAAAAATAGAAAAAAATAGAAAAAGAAATGTTGATCATATCTAACTACCATTAGTAGTAGGCTATTATTTTTATTCTATTTTATTGTATTCTTATTATTACTTTGCTAAAGAGCTGCCTTTAGTTACTCAAATGAAGACGCTAAAAAGATATTCTGTACCACCATTGACTCGAAAAGAGGAGGGCGATTGGGGAAAAAAAAGGAAAAAGGAAAAGGAAAGATCAAAGTTACTAAAACTGATTTATTCTTCTTCATATTGGGGGCATTAGATTTGGAAGTATAAAGTATCTCTCTAGATTTGGGAGTATAAAGTATCTAACATTATTAAAAAAAAAAAAAAAGACCAGCAAAAAAATATTAAAAAATGGTAGGGATTAAATAAATAAGAATGCTATAAGAGATAGAGATTTTTTTAGTCCATATACACTCAAATTGGGAACTTTGTTATTTACAATTACAATATTGTGCTTATACAAAAACACATACGTACATTGGTGCATTACCCCCTCATCTTTTCTGTATTTTCTTTTTTACCCCTGAAAATATAAAAGTTGGAAATCCAAGATGGGTTTTTGTTCTGATACCTGCAGAGGAATTTAATTCAAAATTTTGGCCAAATTTGCATCCACCATTTAGATAATATAACTCATACCCTTTATTAGTAAAAAAAAAAAAAAAAAAAACAAAAAGGAGAGTACTAGTAATATTACCATGATGGCAAACATTCAAGATCAATTAGCCTGAGACCAGCACAATTAGTACTATCTTCAACCTGATAATCACCTTCATTAGCAGTACTAATCACAGGCCAATAAGCAGCACAAAAGTAGTCATCCATAATTTGACGATTATTATAACAAACGTCCATCAACATAAGATCAGGCAAGTCGAAAAACGCGTCGTCGTTTTCCTCCGTCGTGACGATGCCGTCATCACGACGGGGAATATCATGGGCATTATCCGCCGTCTCTGAAAACGACGTCGTATTATGAGCAGCAGTAGTACTGGTAGCAATAGCAGCAGTAGTAGTGTAGGCATAAGCGGCTTTGGCGGCGGCGATTTGGATGTCTTTGGCAGAGGAGGTGGCGGGGCGGGGGAGCTCCGGGGCGAGTTCGGGGAAATTGAGGAAGGCGGAGCGGCCCTTGATCGTAAGAGCCGCCACGTCGTGGGCCCGGGCGGCCATTTCCGGGGTGGGGAAGGTTCCGAGCCAGATTCTGGACTTCTTCCTCGGCTCTCTTATCTCCGACACCCATTTCCCCCATTGCCGCATTCTCACTCCCCGAAACGTCGGATGTTTGGACCCGTTCTTCGCCTTGCACTTGTCGGATTCGGAGCCGCCAGCGAGACTAGTTGTAGTACTGTTGTTGTTCTTGTTGTTGTTGTTGTCGTTGTCTTCTGTAATATGATCAATTTGTCTTGATCTCTTGGAGGTGTTTTTTGATGGAGAAGAAGAGGAAGAGGAAGAGGTGGTGGGGAAATTCTCCCACGTCTCTGTATTGTTAAGAAGTGATGGGTCTTTCATGGTGGAAATTGTTGTTTTTTTTTTTGGTAGTTTTGGGGTGGTAGTAGTCTAGTTGAAGATGTGTGGTGGCTGGACAGAAGCTTAAAATAGGTGTTAGATACATATATAGGAATGCTTCTTATATATATTTATATATATATATAATATGTATATGTATATTATATTTATATACATGTCATGTGTATGATGGGTTATGTAAACATGGGGACGTTTGCTGGTGCGGTAGGGACTCAATTGTAATGCGTTACTTTCAAAACAAAAAAAAGGTAATGCATTTTCTTAAACGTCTATTCTTATTTTGTGGTTTGGTGAAGAATAAGAAATACATTTTTTTTTCTTAGAAATTCAAGAAATGCATATTATTAGCGCGTTTTAAAGTGTTAAAATATATGTTTGTGATAATCATATAGTTGTAATGGTTTATTGGAATTTTGTCTAATATATATATATGTTATATGCATATATATAATAAGTAACCACATCCACGTGTGAAAATCTAATTGAAAACTTGTCTACCTATACATATTTTAAATAAAAAAGTATGTTAATTTGACCAAAATCTAATGAGAATATTAAATATGTGATGATTTAGTCACTCGTTTTTATATTTTTTTATTTTTTAAATGGGACAATATTTCAAATTAAAAAAACAAAATCATCAATTTTAATTTAAAGGGTCACCATTTACAACAAAATCATGATCTCGATATACAATTGGACTCACTAATTAATTCAAATGAAACGTGTATCAAGTTTCAAATTAAGATGAATATTCAAGAATTTGATTCACTAAAAATAAAAAACGCACATGGTTCTTCAAAAAAAAAAAAAAAATTCTACTTGACCAAAATCAAGGGGATCGTATAGCATCAAAACCACATAAAACACCTACAAGATACAAATCAAACAGGCCGAAAATAAAACTAAAGGTAAGAAAATGAGTACACACTAGATTAACATTTGACTTGTGGGTCGTGGCAATAGATAAGAGTGTTGTTTGGTCAACAATTTCCCCTTCATATTAAAGAATTATTACGGTCAGAATTGCTATTTTATCTTATCAGTGAAAATTAATATTTTAACCGTTAGATTAAATTTTTAAGAGTGTTAATGTGTAAATTAAAACTTTATAGCGATTCAATATATATTTTCTCCTGTTGACATATCAGACTGTTAAAAAATTAATTCAATAACTAAATCAACATTGTCTATTAGTAAGATAAAATAGCAAACCATACCATAAAAGATCCCTTATTTCTAAAACAAAAAATGTATGCTATTTGAAGTCGTGAATTTCACGTGGAATTGTATGCTGGCTTGGGATGTTATGTGACGTTTGCTTGACATGATCAAATCATCTCCTCTTGGCATTAAAATATTTGAGGCCATACGTGGCCATAATTGTCACGACCCGTCGTTATGTTATGCCGGTGATGGAACATGATGAGAAAATATAACGTACATACATACATATCATACTATGTACATACATACATATCATACTATATTTATGGATTTTTTTTTCATACAAACATAAATATATATATATATATATATATAACATAGTCATAATAGTGCAGAATATTAAACTTTTAAAAGCTCACAAATCCTTAATTAAAACATGAAAAATCTAAAACTTAAAAGGAGAAAGATGCCTGAAATAGGCTCTTTAATTAAAAACATAATTTTACGGAAATCGTATTAAATCCATAAGGCCAATTCTCAAAAACTAATATCAAAGTTTGGCCACTACAAGTCTTATCTCATATTCGCATTCACTTCGATTCGCTTCCCCGATCACTGAGCTTCTATCTTAACATTTTTCTTTCCCCTTTCCTGCAACACAAGGAATCCTAGTTAGCTAGAAAGCTCAGTAAGTGAGTAGACTAACTACTCTAAATATGGATGTAATGCAACATAATAATTCCTCAACAGAAAAGATATGTGAACGTAAATGTAGACATAAGTAATATTAATTCGAATACCTAATTTAATTCGTCATAATTTTTCTCAACATACATAGTACTACAATTCATAATTTTTTCCAACCGATAAGTAATCATAATATAACATATTTCGTATCCTAATATGTTTCAAAGAAGAGTGTATTATACTCCAATACCCATAAACTCGTCATATTAAATATTCATGTTATCCATTGACTATTACTTTGACCTTCATAACTCACATTCAAACGTATGAGAATCATAGTCTTAATGTACAATAATCATAATTATATGACATCATAAATCATAATCTAACATACTATAATCATAATCATAAGTCTTAATCTTAACATATCATGACCATAATCATACCATATCATAAATTTTAATCAATTTCTTACCGTAAACCGGAGTTTTCCCAAGCAGTCATGTACTCTCATAAGCACAATCGTGCATAGGATTTAAACAAGAATAACACGTTGATAGTAACTAAAATCTAAAACACATAACTACCCCTAATAATCTAGCGTACCCATATTTGCCTTCTTATTAAGGGTTCACAACAATCAAGAAGATACTAAAAAACAAAATAATCACAATATTAATCACATATTCCCATTTAACATGATCATAGTTAAATCTAACTAAGAAACCTACATACTTTAAATCAACATGGCCGTATCATGTTATAATCTTACCATGTCATATCATACTCTCATATTCATAACATAACCTCATATCATATACTATCATGAACTAATTTTCATATAATAAATCGTGACACAATATTATTATGTCATAACAAGGTGCATAACTTATCACATACTCAATAAACTAGCATCCTATCGTGCATGTACTAATCGTGCATAAAGTCCCTCTAGCAGACTTATTTAAATCATAACTATCATATTAGGCCATGTAACGAACCACCAATGTCCACTACTATGAAAAACTAATCATATCTTACTATATGCCAATGTTCATAAGTGAATGTCATGCCAACAAAATCGTGCCCTATTTCGCCATGCTACTTCATATATCAAGCATGTTATTTAGATGCTCAAATAATTAAATTAAGCATATTCGTATTTTATATACCACGTTATGTGCATTCTTAAAATTACCATAAAACATGCTTCCATTCCTTAATGCTCACATACAATTAGATATTTTTCATTAAGGCATAACCAACATATTCGTTGTAGCATAATGGGCATAAAACATTCACAGAGAAGTTAAATGTTTCCATATCATGTTCATGATAATGAAAATCATAAGCAGCATGCACATAAGGCATAATTATATTCACATTTCATACTGTCATAAACGATCATGGTATTCTTTCATAGAATGACAAACATAGGTCACAAGTAAATCGTAAGCATCACTTGTACTGCAGGTGAGTACTCTACTTACCTTAAGCATTCATATATCCTAAACATAAGCTCCTTACGCTTCGTTTGATTCACGCACAATGCTTAGGTGCTCACCTAATTTTAACAAATATTTTCCCGTTAATTGGAGCGTTACAAATCCTTTTAAGAGTATTACAACACTCTAGAATTGTTAACAAACTCCTAAAAATAGGAAACCATATTGTTTCTTTTTGATATCTTAATCGGAGACTCATAATTATAATCTCGCCTATTTTTTTTTGAAAAACATGGTTTGAGGTTGAGGAAGACTCTTTGGAGTTTAATAACCTTTTCCATAATTGAACAAAGCAAAATCAAGTCCTTAATTCATAACATGACTGTAATTTTCTTAAAAGAAAATTCATCAAACTAAAATATTTAATTTGAATCCTTAAATTTTATAGATATAATTTTTTTTAAGAAAACTAAAAGAACACAACCTCATAACATGAGCTTTCATTATCCTTCGACATTACCAAAAATATAATCTAGCATGAAGAGTTGGATTTTCAACTAAACCAACTAAAATCTTTATTTTGTCAAACTTTCCGTCATCGAAATTAACCATTCGTAATCAAATATGACACTCAAATTACATACATATTTATAGATATTTAAATAACTATAAGCTTAGTTTTTAACCAAAAAAATCTATATATTTAACCAGTCGTTAATATCAAAGTATCAACTCCATATCTAATAGCACAAATGTTGACCATAGAGCAACTTTTATCAAAAGACAAATTCGTTGACTCCTACGAAAATATTCATAATATATTATAGGTAGATCAAAAAGTTACGGGACCACAGCCCAATCAAAATAGATTCATAGAGCCTTTTCTAATGTTATTATAAGCTACGTTTCAGATTTATTAAACTTATAAAAAACAGCCCGTAAGCCATATTAAAAATTTCAGGCAGGAAATTGACAGATTTCATATGAATTTGTAAAAATCATAACTAATTCTAGAAAACTTGCTTTTGAGTAATTCAAAAAGACACTTAAAGCTTAAGATGTCTATTTTGAGAGAAAAATATCAACTAAGACAAAACAATATAAAATATCCAAAAAATAGAAACTTCACAGCTGGTCACAAAAACTTACTCTTGATTATTTTGTCAAACATATAGCAAGCAAACTTCAAACAACTAGAAAATAAGCTTAATGATCATCAAAAATTAAACTTCATCATCAAAATACACAATCTAACTCAGTCTCATGGGTTTTTAAAGGTTGAAGATTCTCACTCTTGAAGAAACGACGAAGTTTGGGTTCATTTTGATGATGAACTCGTGGCTTAGATTGGAAAAACATGTTTGGCTTGAATAGTAGATTTAAAGGTGTTATTGTTAGCCGAAATTGGATAATACAAAGAAGATCAAAATTATAGGGAAGAACAAAACTGAAATTCATACAATTGTAATTCAACCTTTTTACCAAAACTCAGAAATGGAAATTGCAAGAATGTCGAGGCACGTGGAGCACGTTTTCCTTAAAATAGATTCGTCCCCTCCAGCGTGTGCTTGAGGTTACGTTGGACGTCCATCTCCCAGGATACAACGACAACGATGGTAGCTCGATGCACTTTCGGAACCGTCCGGCGAACTAGAACTTGATCTTTCCTCTATCACCAAAACCAGAACTAACAAGAAAAACACAAAGACTTCCGAAACAAGAGAGAAAACGAGAGAGAAGAAAATGATTTCT